CACACATGCACACACACACACACACACACACACACACACACACACACACACACACACACACACGAAGGTCTGAACTACGGGAAACCCTTTTGCTGACATGGTTAGAAGATTAATGGGAAATGAGTTAGCCCTTTTTCACCTTGTAGACAATGCAGCTGAACTACTCACTACAATTGCAGGAAGGCACTTGGGTAAAACATTGAGATAATCTGAGGAAGGGCCTGATTCCTCATGTGCAAAAAGTGGCTCCCAGCCAGGGCAAGTGAGAACTGATCTCTCACCACCCCTGTCACCCTTCCCCAGAGAAGTCGGTATTGCTCCAGTGAAGGGCCAGCAGGGAAGCTCGCTTTGTTTAATAGGAAGTACTTAGAATCAGAGGCTTAGTGCTTAACGTCTTGTGGACATTCTGGGTTCAAACGAGAATTCTGCTCAGCTCTATGCATGGGGTGGGTGGAGGGAAGCCTGGTGCTGCTGCTAGGGGGAAGAAATACCAGATATTAGCCAAGAAGTCACACTTGTCGTGCTCAAGCTGAACCCCGGGCATGGGGGCTCCGTCTGGAGAGCTGGCCAGAGCTGGCCCAGCTCCCAAGAAGATTTACCTTGGGATGGCCTTGGCAAGGTCAGAATGTAAGAAACACATGATGGGTAGTTAGCCACTGTGGCTTGCTAGTTGGTCCTCTGCCTAGCAGACAGAGCTGAGAAAGTCACTTAACATGCCCGCCCAACGTGTACAGGGCTCCCGTGGTGAAGGCAAGCAGTGAAAACTATCTTGTTCATGTCGAGGAGAGCTCTGCTGGAAGGATAAACGAACTGCCCAGGGGAGGAAGACTGTGGAGGAGCCCGGTGAGAGTGAGTGTGGAGAAGTCCACAGGACACACAACCCGGCCAAGCAGGGCTTGATCACACAAAGGCACACGCTGGGGCAGATCTGCCCGAGTTACACGAGCGATGCTTTGGATTCGACAGCGACTTCAAATGCATCCAGGTAAAAACCAGAACGACAGGGCGATGCCGGCACTTTCCTGCTTTGGGTTTAGGGGAGGGGGATAATTTAGTCCCTTTGTTCTGTTTGGTGGCAGTCCTGACAGACACCTGCAGGTTTTGATTGGGCTAGGCGGCTTTAGCTCTGTAACAGTCAATGCAAAGACCCAGAAGGTTCTCCCAGCTCCTGGGTGGAGGAGGCTCTGTCTGGGAGGAGGGTGGAGAGGAGCCTTTGGAAGCATTGTTCTCAACAGGCAGCCCTGGCTGGATCCCAGGAGAGGTCTGGTGCAGGCAGCAGGGTTAGGGAGTAGCTGGCTGAGAGGACCCAGCCCGCAGACACCTTAGTTGGCTCTTTGAAGCAGAGAAAAACAAAGCGAAGCCCCCAAAAGCTGGCAAACATGTGCATGTGTTATAACTTAACGCCGAGAAGTTGGAACCGGTGGTCCTGTCAGGGCAAAGCAGTTCGTCTTTGGAAAGAAAACTCAAAATAAAGCTCTGCTATGCCCCGGCTGGGGCAGAGATGATGGTCTGGTTTTGGCTCCTATAGAGATCTGGGGTTCTCAAGCCCAAAAGTTGGACTCTTGGGCATGTTTTTTGGTTGCTCTGTCTAAACACCCTTCAGGAGAGATCGGAGTCATGTCTGTGGACTGGGGCTGAAGTTCCCAGTTCTCTCCCCCAGCCCAGCCTCGGGTCTCAGGCAAGCTCAGCTTCCCGGTGAGGTGAGAATGGGGCTCTGGTCAGCAGGCAGTTGCTTTTTCTAGTGAAAATCCAGTCTCTGTGGACATCAGCTGAGATGAGCTTTGAGGGGTGGCAGGCTCCGACACCAGCAGCCTGCGCTGTGCCCACATACAGTGTTCCAGTCAGAGAAGGCAGGGAGAGACAGAGGGGTCCAAGGCGGAAGGTTTCTTGCAATAATGGCTGTTTCTAGGTCTGATTTCGTGGGGGAGGTCTTGAAAACTCCTTCCTGATGATTTCATTAACTAAAAAGGGAGAAAGAATTTAGAAGGACTCGTGAGATGTCACCCAAACCAGGCATCCGGTTAAACACCACTTTCTGTGGGTTTCCTTGTGACGATCCTTTAACCATTTTAACATAAACACCTTCCTATGCCCCTGCCCAAGTCCCCCCAGCTGACCGCTCACATGGTAATGTGCTCCACCAGTGCTTGAGGATTGTATTTCAAGGCTCCAGGGGTGGAGGGGGTCCTCAGAGGGGCTGGGGAGCCAGTCACCTTCCCTGTAAGTTTGTGGTTCCCACAGGAACTGTAGGCATGAATGACACCAGCCCCGGCATGGAGAAGCTATCTGGCCTGTGCCAACCGGGCAGCTCATCTGAGGTGTGAGTTACTGGGGTGGGGTGGGAGACCCTAACACGGAGGATCTGGCCACAGGCTTCCCTTAGCATCCTGGAGATCAGCTATTGTCATCACCAGCACACACCGGAGGCTGCAGAGCCAGTCCCAAAGCCAGTGTACATCCTCGGTGGCATTTCGTCAGCCGATCCCAGGGTGCACAGGAGATTTCTCCCCACAGCCTCCTTAGTTTCCCATCTGAGCTATTTTCTGAGTGTTAGAGATGGAAACGGCGTAGAGAACAGAGAAGCTATGGAGACCTTCCCCATTCCAGACTCTGCAGTCTGAGGTGCTTTCTCCTGGGAGGTCCCTGCCTGGATGAGTCTGTGACCCTCGTCAACAGGGACAGGGATAGGTATGGTTTTAAAGAACGGGCTAATCGAGGTTAGCTCTCAGCCAAACCAGCCATGTGACTCCACTGGCCTGTGACTCAGGCTCCCTGTCTCTAGAGTGGGAATCACAGCAGC